ACTCGGAAGGCTGAGGCAGAAGGATTGCTGGAGCCCAGCAGGCGAGGCTGCGGTGGCCGGGAGCAGCCACTGCACTCCAGTCTGGGCGACCGAGTGAGACTCCAACTTAAAAAAAAACAACGCAACTTTCATAGTTAGCTGTTGCAATTCTTAGCGTTGATTACTGGTTGGCTAGTTACAGATAGATTCTCTTATGCTTGAATGTGTCTGTGTCACTTTCTGAAAGCATGTCCCTACTTTTAAATATTTTGTATATTATACATTTTGTAATGAAATATTTCAATTCTGATTAATGATACCTTGAAAGAACTTGTTTTCCTAAGCTAAGAAGTACTTTTTGAATTTTGTCATAGTAATCGTCTCTAATATTGAAGTTTAAATATACTCTCTAGACTTGTTTGTTTTACTATAACTTATTGTGTCTTCAGCAAAGTTTGTTTATTGTTGTATGCTTATAATCCAAATTTTGTGTTTATTTGGTAGTCTGCTAGAACTGTATTAGGTTGCAGTGTATTCTAGAAGTATAGACTTTAATTTTAGAAAAATCTGATTCAAAAGGTAAAATATAACTTGTGATATAAAAATTCACCTTTGTGAGGGCTGCTACAGCCATCAAGTTGCTAGGCATTTAAGTAATTAAGGAATATGTAAATACATTGCTGCTCTCCTAGGAAACTTCTTGTCATTTGTCTAGATCATTATTTCCCTCTGTATGGTGTTTTCTAAATTAAATATATATGGTTTTCTGTTTTTTCAGGCTGGCATGGCTTTATATAAGATTGTCCCCAAAAACCCTTACTACTTTTGGTCTGTGATGAGCTTAATTATGCAAGTGAGTATGGCATTCAGAATGGGATTGAGGTTTGTTTTTATTTTTGTTTGTAGTCATTGTCCTTAATGTGTCTTCTGAACATTTGGGATAATCTGTTGTAGCATGTGCCAACAGAGACTTCGCATACTTATTGTTAGTTGACTTTTTAAGTTGGGGATTTGGAGTATTTTATGAGCATGGACTATATTTCCTCTGAATCTCAGATACATTGCTAGGTTATTTTGATTAATTCTGAGCCTAAAAATGTTTGATAGTTCAACTTGATGTTTGTCTTTTAAGATATTATTTGTTGGTTAATGAGCGAGTCATTGAACTTGGTGGCCTTGTTTTGTCATTTCTCTCTTTTTTCTCTTTTTTCTTTTGAGTCAGGATCTTACTCTGTCGCCTAGGCTGAAGTGTGCAGTGGCATAATCACAGCTCACCACAGCCTTGACCTCATGGACTCAGGCAGTCCATAACCTCTCCTTTCTTAGTCTCAGTTTGCTTTTTTGAGAATGGATCACTCAGAACTGCTATAAGGACCAAAGTGAGATTCTGTCTAGGAAAGGATGGGGATGAAGGAGTTAACAATAGTAGTTAAGAACTGATGCTCTGGGTCATACAGTGACTTTATGCTTGTCATCTCAGCACTTTGGAAGGCGAAAGTGGAGGATTGAGCCCAAGGCCTCTCAAGATCAACCTGGGCAACATAGTGAGACCTTGTTTCTACAAAAAATTAGTTGGGTATGTCTAAAGTCTCAGCTACTCAGGAGAATGAGGAGGGAGGATTGTCTGAGCCCAGGAATTTGAGGCTGTTAATGAGCACTGTGTGCCACTGTACTCCAGCCTGGGTGATAGAGTGAGACTGCAACTCAAAAACAAGAAACATATTCTGGGGTCTGCCTTCATATACTAACTTTTCCACATGTCTTGGAGAGTTGTTGGGGGGATCTCTTAACCTTGGTATTTTTTCTTAACAAAATAAGCATAAGCCGGGCTCAGTGGCTCAGCCTGTAATCCCGCGCCTTTGGGAGGCTGAGGTGAGTGGATTGCCTGAGCCCGCGGGTTCGAGACCCGCCTGGGCAGCGAAACCTCATCTCTACAATAAATTTTAAAAAATCAGCCAGGCGTGGTAGCGCATGCCTGTAATTCCAGCTACTCAGAAGGCTGAGGCGGAA